CAAGGCTCATCCGTGCTGCGGCGGATGTACTCTGTGAAAGGGGATCTTGCCATGGTGCCCAGGCTGGCCTCGACCCCCCAGCCTCCGGCAGTCCTCCTGCCTCAGCCTCGGCAGCTCTGCCACAGTCCTGCATTCTCACGTTTTCCGGGGTATGGATGGACCACTGTGTGCTGATGGGCCAGCAGGGGACAGGCACTTATGTTTTCCTGGCCTGCGGACAATTGTGAATTGTGGCTTTCTGGACGCAGGTCTTGTCACCCAGGAGTGGAACAAAGGGCCAAGGTGACAGACATGAGCATCAGCTGTATCTTTCCATCACTTTAATGGCCACCTCGAGGTGCGGGCAACAAGTGGCGGCAGCACTTCAGCTGCAGCCAGCAGCAGGCATGGGACCTCCCAGGGTGGCCAGGGTGCAGACCCTGGACTGGCCACTGGGTGGCGCCAAGGCCCCGTCCTGGCCAGCAGGTGGGCCCATCTCCCAGTCAAAGGCAGGCTCCCAGGGGTGCGCGAAGATCTGGGCCCATCAACAAGAATCTGAACACTATAGATGGGAACTTGACCAGCTGCGTCCTGGGCCTTATTCTGGGTGCCTGGCACTCAGTGGGCACCTACAACACCACACAGTGATATTTATTCTGGGAGGAAGGTGGAGAAAATGACCAGTGAGATACATAAGTCTGTCAGACTGCACTCGGTGCCACAAGAGAGGCATGAACAAGGAAAGGGATGTGTGGGGGCACGCGGTGGGTCTGAGACGTGCACTCTGGAATGTCAGAGACCTGGGCAGCCGAGGCTGGAGTGTCAAGCTCAAGGCCATCCTCACAAACCCAGGGAGACCCATTTCAAAATAAAAATGAAAAAGGCTGGGGATGCAGCTCAGTGGTCAAGCACCCCAGGTCCAGTGCCCGGCACTGGGGGAGGGTGGGGCGAGGCGGAGCTGAGCTGAGCTCCACCAGCCCAGCAGGGAGGGTGCCAAGCCCCAAGGCAGGAGCTGTTGCCTGTGGGCCCAGCACAAAGGTGGGGACAGGGAGGAGGGAGAGTGACTGTGAAGGTGTGACACAGCGTCTGGGGACTGAGTGACAAAGGCAGAGATGTCCATTGGCACTGGCCCAGGGGTGCTGGTCAGCAGGTCAGCCTTCCATTGAGCAGGCAGCTGTGCTCGGGCAGCAGCACGGGGTGTGGCCTGGGCCAGGCCCTCCAGTGAGACTCTGCCGCCTCCCTCCCAGGAGCCTGGGCATCAGGAACCCTGCAGGAGACATGCCAAGCCCCTGGTGAGAGGCTGCCCTGCCATCCACCCTGGGCTCAGCACGGAAGGATACACGGAGAGTATGTATCTCCAAACACTGCCGGGAAGGTTGACCGGGGACGCTGGAGGCAGACTCGGGAACCACAGGGCAGAGCCCCAGTGCCCTCAGTGTGGCACCGGTGCCAAGAACTCTTCACTGATGGGCAAGGCCTCGGCTGCATGAGCATCTCCAGAGGCGAGCCACCACAAGGACAGCTGAATGCACACAGGTGAGAGACGGTGGCCACTAGGGGACCCCACGCCCCAAGTCCCAGAACCCAGGACGTGGCTTTATTTGTGGAGAAGGCTCTTGGCTGCTGTAACTGAGGATCAGTGGGCTTTGATTCCTGTGGACAGCTAGCTGTCCTCGGGAGACAGGCGGCCACATGGCTGGGGGCTAGGGGGCGCAGCAGGTGCCAGGAGCTGGGGAGGAGGTTCCTTCCCAGAGCTCCCAGAGGGAGTGCGGCCCCCAGAACTAGGAGTGCTGCTGTGAGTGCCATCTGTCCTGACTTGTGATGGCGGCCACTGGAAGCTACCGACCGACACACAGGCTTCTCTTCCCCCCTGTGACACGCGCCTGTCCTGCTCCCCACTCTATACCCTAAGGAAGCTTATTTCTTTTTCTTTGGCACTGGGGATTGAACCCAGGGGCATTTGCCCTTTTTGTCTAATTTTGAGATAGGGTCTCCTTGAGTTGTCCAGGCTGGCCTTGAACTCGTGAACCACTGCCCGAGCTGCTGGAACAACAGGAGCACACGCTGCATGCAGCAAGGATGGTCATTTCTTTTCAATACCAGGGATCGAACTCCAGAGCACTCAACCACTGAGCCACACCCCCAGCCCTATGTTATATTTTTTCTTTAAAGACAGGGTCTCACTGGGTTGCTTAGCGCCTCGATGTTGCTGAGGCTGGCTTTGAACTCTTGATCCTCCTGCCTCAGGCTCCAGAGCTGCTGGGATTAATGATATTTCTGATGGGCATTGCCTCCTCTCAGTATCCAGAAGCGTGCGGGGAGGAGTCCAACATTAGCTGTCCATCTTGAGCCACAATGTAAATCATCCTTTAAAAACAAACATGCACGGTAACAAGGAGGTTATGACCCTACATGCACATGTGACTGCACCACCGCAGCCAGAGGGAGGAGGAGTTGTGCTCCATTTCCGTACAATGTGTCAAAATGCCAGATACAATGAAAATGCAGACACCAGGATCCCTGGAACCCCCACCCCACATTACTTCACAATCCCCGGGCTATGGAAACGGATGGGGCATGAAGCCCAGGTGGACCTCGCTGCCCATCTCCATCCAGCCTCCAGGTGACCAGGCAGGCTGTCCAGGAGCAACGAGGCTCAGGAAGAGACCTTTTCTGAGCAGCAGCCCAGCAGTCAGGGCCCCTAGGGTACAGCTGTGCGCCATCAGGGCTCTGTGGTCCATTCAGAACTCTGGCAGACAGGACAGGACAAGTCCCCGAGGCCAGGATCGTCACAGTGGTGGGCCAGCACTGGCTTCAACCTGATGTCACCGCTGTGCAGGCGCCTGACAGGAGGGACACCCGCCCGGCTTTGGAGCCTGGCACTGACTTCTCTCTGCTGTGAGCACCAGGGGCACGCTGGGCACATGCCCTGCCACTGAGCCTCAGCTGGCCCAGAACCCTGCCCTGGGCGAGGCTCCGGCTTGAGGATGGGCTGTGGCTGGCTTCCCTCCTGTCCAGGCCCGTGAGTCTCGGCACCAGCAGCTGCTGCGCTCTCTTATCCCTCGCTCCTTCACGGGGCAGCGCGTGCCATGTCCTTCCCCAGGACTTCTTCCGCACTCACAGCGTGGCTATCGGCTGGAGGCCTGGCTGCTGGCCTCCTCCACGGTGCCATCACTCCAGCTTCTGATTCAAAGTGAGAGGTGTGCAGCTCTTCCTTTCCCTGGGACACTCCGAGGCCGCTGTTGGGCTGCTACTGGCCTAACTTCAACACAGTTGTGTCTCAGGGCACAGGGAGGCCAAGGGGGACGGCGACGGGGAGATGGTCAGTGGAGCAGTCAGAACACAGGACAGAGTTCATAGTCTTATCTGGGTGCAGTTCATGGTGCCCCCAAACAATTCCACTTGTGGCAAAGACCGCTGCTCACAGGTCACCACCACAGACATAAGAACAGAGTTGGAAATGTCGTCAGACCGCTGAGATGCGGCCTTAGGGGATGCGCACCTGTGATTCCAGCCACTCAGAAGGCTGAGACAGGAGGATGGAAAGTTCAAGGCCAGCCTCAGCAATGTAGGGAGGCCCTAAGCAACTTATTAAAACCCTCTCTCAAAATAAAAAGGCCTGGGGAGGGGCTGGGGATGTGGCTCAGCAGTAGAGCCCTTGCCTGGCGTTTGAGAGGCACCAGGTTCCATCCTCAGCACCATATAGTACAATCAATTCATTATGTCCACCTAGAACTAAAAATATTTTAAAAAGAAGTAACCTTCAACTGGGTGTAGCGGTGCAGGTCTGCAACCCTAGCTACTTGGAGGCAGAGGCAGGAGGATTACAAGTTTGAGGCCAGCCTGGGCAACACAGGAAGACCCTATCTCAAAATACAGTAAAAATGGCCAGGAGTGTGGCTCTGTGGTAGAGCTTGCCTGGCATGTCTAGACCCTAGGTTGGACCACAAAACAAACAACAAACAGAAAACCAACCTTCAGAGGCTTCTGGAATCGGAGACCGTGTGGTCAGTGCATCTTCCCACTGGACCTGTGTGTCCACAGTCTCGACAGATGGCCATCCAGCACCAGAAGCCCTGAGGCTAGTGGGGCCACCAAGTGCACGACTAAACAGTCTACTGGCCGTCCTGGGAGGTAGGCTCGGCGGCAGGAGAAGCTGAAAGAGCGTCCCTTCCTCTCACGCTGTTTATTTCTTTTTAAGGGACGAGACAGTTCACGTGGAGCCCCCCCCATGCTTGTGCAGAGCTCACTGTGGCTTGCATGCTGGCACTGCGTGGCCAAGCAGCACAGCTGAGCAAGGGTAGACTGCAGGTCAGACTGGGCGGCCCTGCAGCTGGGCTGTGCCGCTCTGAGGCACGGCATGGTGTACCCTGACAACGCTGCCTTCACAAGCCCCATGGCAGACGACAGCTCGACAGCTCGTAGAAATGCCTGCAATAGCCAGCTACGAACTCAGCACTGAGCTGAAACCAGAACAGAACAGAACCGAGAAAGCAAATAAAAGGATGAATGAGTCCTCTCTGAAAACTTCTCAACAGCCTGAGGCAAACCAGAGACCTTGGAAGGGCTGGGGTGTGGCTGGTGGAGAGGGCTTTCTTAGCATGGGTGAGGCCCACATATAAATAAGTGAATAAAATAAAGATCCATCCACAACTGAAAAAAAAAAAAAAAAAGATCTGGCAAGACAGCATCTGAGACTGGGCGGGCACTGGCCTCTCAACATCCTCCTGGCCCTCGCGGCCCCACGTGGCATCCAGGGCCCACAAGGAGCACCCTGGCCAGCAGCCTGCCTGGGGAGCTGTCACCTCACTGCAGCAGCCCTCCGGGGCAGGGCTCCAACACCATCTTGGGGAGAAAACAGAGTGCAAACCCTCAGCCACTGGAACATGAGTAAGTAAGTGCAGAGGGCCAAGGAGAGACATGGCCTGCGTCCCCGCCAGTCCTCTTCAATCTCAGACACTCCAGGTCTAAAATACCAATAATCAAATACACAAAGATATGAACACTCAGCATAAACAACCTTAAAAAAAAAAAAACCCAAAGACAAATGCTATTTATTTGTTTATCAAGACTACAAATAGCATTTAAACACTTAATTTATTATTCAAATTAAGAAATTATACATTTTGTTTTGATAACGGTCATTGTCTTAAAAGTGTCGTTCTGTTTTCCCATTTAGAAGCGTATTGCTAATTCTGGTCTATTGACTTCAATGGCCGACAGGCCTCCAGCGGAGGGGATGCGGGAGCACAGGGACTGGATCTGCAGCACTCCCCAGCACCAGCTCGGCAGGCAGCACCCGGTGCTGCTGAGGAGACAGAGGTCCTGATAAAGTGCCTTCGTGAGACTCTCCCTCCCCACACACGCCAGGAACGGCCCCGTCTCCATGTCAGAGCAGCAGCCGGAAGCACGGGAGTGAGGTACCCCAAGACGCCCTGGGTGCTGGGCACTGCAGCTGGACTGAGGAGGGCGCGTGGTCACGGAGAGACGCAGCCCACCACTTTGGTTCAAATGACTTTAATAGAAGCTGCAGGGCCTCCACGCCCCCAGCCACCACTCACTGCAGGCCACATGCGTGCGGTGGTGTGTGGACCCTCCTTGGCCTCCCCCGGAAGCTCTCCAGGCAGCACGTGGAGATAGACAGACAGAATGCATGACCACCTCACACCCCACAGCAATACCCAAGCCATCATGATGCAGGTCGGCGCTACACTGAGAACAGCATGCCGGTCCCACCTGGGAGAAGTGGCGAGAGAAGCACAAGTACACTACCACCACCTACCGTCCAACCTCACCACGGGGAGGCAGCAGGAAGTGCCTTTAGTTTTAACAACAGGCTGTAAACAATCAACCACAGGAGAAGCAGTGGCCCCAGAGGGCGGCGCCTTGGCCCCTCAGTCGGTCACAGACCGTGGGGTGCCCCACAGGAGGTGGCAGCCGCGGCTCAGAAGGAGTCTAACAAGGTCAGCAAAGCCAAAGCTTCATCTTTGGTTAATTTCACTGAGTTGCCACTAGTCTAAAAACTGTGCTCTTCTTGGCAAAGTTACTACATCAGCCACCCGGCACAAAACAATTGTTAAGCAATGTCCATCTACATAAGTGACCATGTTGTAATAAAAATCATCTAAAAAATGAGGGAGGGAGGAATGCCAGGAGGAGGGAGGAGCCTGGAGAGCCGGGGTCCAGCCGGAGCACTCTCTGGGCCTGGGGAGGTGCTGGCTGCTCTGGGAGGGTCGGGTCCAGCTCAGCTCAGCTCAGCTCAGCTCAAAGCCAGCAGCACACTCGATGGCATAGAGCAGCTTGCTTCGCAGAAGGGTCTCATCGTAAAACTCTGGGAGCTTCAGTAGGTTCATGCAGGTGCTGGCTGTGGGGAGCCGCTCGAGGTCAGAGCCTCCGTTGTGAATGCAAAAGGCCGGGTACAGCTCCTGGAAGACAGCAAGGCACAGGACACACCTTACCCACACAGTCCTGCAGAAGCACGCACGCGAGCGCACACAAGGACACCCACTCCACAAGGAAGGGCCGAGGAGGACCTGCTCGGCATCAGCCCAGTGCTGTGCCTTATGCTCGAGGGGCAGGTGCACGCGGGCTTACTGGAGGCCACCTCTCCAGGGAGCAGGGTTCCCGCAGGCTCTGCCTTTGGACCTTTAGAGATGTGCTCAATGTGTGGAAGGTGCAAAGGTCAAGAGCTGACTTAGGGCAGGGTGGGGTGGCCATCAGCTGATGCAAAGGTCAAGTGCTGTCTGTGTCACTGAAGGGCCATGCAGACAGCCATGGACAAGCCTGATCCAAGTGAGAGGAAGAAGGGAAGGAACCCGCTGACACTGGGGAAATTAAACAGAACCCTCTACCTAATCCCTGGTCCAAGCACGGGAATAAAGGTCATCACTGGGAAAAGAGACCAAATAGAAAACCAAAGGAACTCGGGAACAGGGTGCACACCTAGGATCCCAGTGGCCTGGGAGGCTGAGGCAGCAGGATTACAAGTGCAAAGCCACCCTCAGCAACTTAGCAAGACCCTATCTCTAAATAAAATAATTATGACTCAGTGGTTAAGAATCCCTGGGCTCAATCTCTGGTAACCAAAACAAAACAAAACTTACAAGTCTACATCCATTTTTTTTTTTTTTTTGGTTATGCAGAGATGAAACTCAGGGGCTCAAACACGCTGAGTAAAACACGGCAGCCCCACACCAACTCGCCAGCCTAAGTCGGAGCCGGATAGACTGAATTTGAACACGCTTTCTCTATTCCTGACCAATGGGCAGCAATAAGCAGGATGGTCTCAGACCCTGCCCCGCCCCCCGATGGACCTGCCTTGGAATCTTTGTCACTGCCAAAGGAGAATCCACATTTAGAATGTGCAGGTACCACTACTGTTTTATGAGATACACAAAGAAGCCACCAGTACCCTCACTGATGACAAGGCGAAACAGAGGGGATCCAGAAGATGAGAGGAGATTAAAGAGACACACTGTGCGGACACGGCCTGCTGGCACCGAGCAGCGAGAGGAGCGTGGGCATCTTCTGGATACTGACGGTGCTAAGGAACCTTTATCTTTTAGATGTGGTAAGGCACTCTACAGTTAGGAGAAAGTGTGCCCTCACTCCCAAAAGCCTGTGGTTTCTTACACAGAGGGAAGTCCTGGTGACCCTCCCCAATCAGTTTCTCATTCTTTCTTTTTTTCTTTTTTCTTTTTTGGTACTGGGGATTGGAGTCAGGGGCACTCGACCACTGAGCCACATCCCCAGCCCTATTTTGTATTTTCTATAGACAGGGTCTCACTGAGTTGCTTAGCACATCGCCACTGCTGAGGCTGGCATTGAACTTGTGATCTCCCTGTCTCTATCTCCCAAGCCTGTAGGATTATAGGTGTGAGCCACCGTGTCCTGCTACTCTCATTCTTTCTTGAGGGTGCATATAAGTAGCATTATTTACTAATGGGTATGGGGGCTGTTTCAACGATTTACAAATAATTATGTGATTAATAATTATGTTCTGAAGTCTACAACTGTCCATGTGTAACTGCGGGCTAAGTACCCACACATTCATGCCCGGCTAAGTGCAGACCTACTGTGAGAGATCGAAGGAGAAGTGGTCCCTTGGACACTAATAACCAGTGACTATGTCCTGCTCTTGAGCACAGACAGCGTCAGGTCACAGCCTGGTGTTCCCACCCAACAGAGGGACGCCCGAGCACGGCCTGCCCTGGCCTGCTGGCTGCAGAGGCTGGCGGTCCATCTGGTTTGGCCCCTCACCGCAGGCATGCAGATCAGGTCCGGGAAGCCAAGAGTTACCAGCCCGAGGGGCGCCCCCAATGCCCTTGTGGGAGGGGAGAGGGCAGGCTTCACTTAGTAGCCCAGGACAGGAGGTCAGGACCGAACCCAAGAACCATGACCTGAGGGTATGTGCATGCCACACACACCTCTTGGGAGCTGTACCCCAGCCCAAGGTTACACAGGGTGGAAAAGCCTGCCCACAAGCCGATCACGGGGATACACACAGGATGTACACATGGCACTCATGACAGGAGAGACACTGATCCCCCTCCAACCACTCGAGTAGAGAAGGGAAAGCAGAATTGGAGCAGAGTTCCTATCCTGATGGGATTTCTGGGAGCAGCTGTCCACAGTCCCACATTGCTGCCGGCCAGAGCTTCTTACCCTCTGCCTTGCAGTCCTCTCTACTGTTAATATACCTCCACAGGAAACGCATGTGGGGCCAGGCGTGGTGGGTCAGCCTGGAATCCCAGCAACAAGAGGCTGAGGCAGGAGGGTTCCAAGTTCAAAGCCAGCCCCAGCAACTTAGCAAGGCCCTGTCTCAAAATGAAAAGTAGAAGGTCTGGGGACATGGCTCGGTGGTTACGCGCTCCTGGGTTCAATACCCAGTGCCCACCCCTAAAAGTACACAGATCGTGTGCGTGCGCAGACACACACACACACACACACACACACACACACTACACAGAGCATATAGTATTTGCTAAAAACCACTGTTTCTCTAATTGTAGTTTATATGCTACTTTTAAATTGCTCATGAAAATGTTAGAACAAGAACCAAAGGACAACTAGAAATTACATTTAATTTACCACTCACCATTTTGAATATTCAGGGCAACTACTCTCTCAAGTGCTTGAAGAAACTAAAATAAAATCATCCTGTTTTTGAGGCAGAAAAGGATCTCTGGTGACAGAGGTGGTGAGTGCTGGCAAAGCCTCTGAGTAAGTGGGAAGCTCTCAGTGAATTCTGCAGTGAAATGCCACCCTGTAGGGTTTCCTTCCTAATGCTAATTGAATTTTCTACTTGCAGCCTAAAAGGTAAAAAAATGAAGTTCTTCATTGAAATCCAAGTCGAGGGCACCATTCTGTGTATAATTAAACATAGCACGACGGGAATCTGCATTAATCCAGAGTGAGAAAATCATCCATTTATTATGTGGTCTGATGGTAACTTAGTGCTTTGGTACAGCACTTTAATGATTTTTTGGGTCTGTAACAACCACATTTATTAAACACATTAAACTTTAATTAGCTTTAGCAGATGTTATTCTTCTGCAATAATCTGGAACTGAAACTGAGGGTTTTGTCACTTTTAGCGAGTCCTGCCTCTGCAGCCTGCAGGATGACAGCCCCTCCAGCCTGCAGGGTGCTGGCAGCCTCCTAGGGGCATGCCGAGCCACGTCACAGGACAGCTGCACAAACACTTAGCGTGGAGAACTCTAAGTTTTGTGTGCAGCACGTAAGACAAAGTCCAGAACAGGAAGACCATCTCCTAGCACAGCGCAGCGTACCTTCCTGGCCTAGCAACTCAGTCATGCCTGCGCAGGGCCCTGTCAGGGAGACAAGTTCTCACCACCGTTTGTTTGGGATTTTAAAAGGTAATGAACCAAAGCCAGGCACAGGAACGCGTGTCTGTATTCCCAGCGATTTGGAAGGCTGAGGCAGGACAATCAAAACTTAAAGGCCAGCTTCAGCAACTTAGCAAGACCCAGCCTCAAAATAAAAAATAAAAGGGATGATGGAGATGTGATGCGGTGGTCAAGTGCCGCTGGTTTAAATCCCCAGAATTAAAAAAAAGAGAAAGAAAGAAAGAAAAGAAAAGCAGGGTGTGGTGGTGCACGCCTGTAATTCCAGTGGCTGGGGAGGCCGAGGGAGGAGGATTGGGAGTTCAAGGCCAGCCTCAGCAACTTAGTGAAAATTAAATACAAAAGAAAAAAGAAAAAAAAAAAAGGGCCGGGGATGTGGCTCAGTGATGAAGCATCCTGGGTTCAGTACCCAGCACCAAAAAGGAGCTAAGGAACATGCCCTCCCCAATGTCTATGACCCCTGTGCAGGAGATGGTCTGGAGGTCTCTGCGTGCCAAGGCAGGCTGGCATTGTCTTGCACTCTCCCAGGCGGGCTCCCCCATGCCCACTGGTTGGCACTGACTGCTCGACAGGAGAGCATCCCTGGCCCCACTCTCTTTGCAGGGGAACAGGACCCCACCTAGGCTCTTCCTGGAGAGTCGCGACCTCGAGGTTGGCACTGTTTTGAAAGGAAGATCCCAGAAGACCTGTCTCTCAGGGCAAGTGTTACTGGTAAAATCACCTAGTGGCATCGAACTCTCAAGCTGCATTTGGGTGCCGTGGCACACGCCTGTAACTGCCCAATTCTGGAGGCTTGAGCCTAAGTAACACCATCTACTTGGAGACTTTGCCAGCACTCGCCATCCCTGCCATCAGAGATCCTTTCTGTCTCAAAAAGGTAATGCTTTCATTTTAGTTTCTTCAAGTACTTGAGAGAATACTGCCTTGTGTCCTCAGAATAATGCTGAGTGTTGAATTATTAATGTTATTTCTAGTTCTCCTTTGGTCCCTGTCCTAACATAAGATCAACGCCAGCCTGGGCAACGTGGTGAGACCCTGTCACAAAATAAAACAATGCTCGATGCGGCTCAGTAGCTAATGCCCTGGGCTCGATCCTCAGTACCAAAAACAGAACAGCAGAAAAACACACTTAAGTGGCAAGACTATTTTGGGTGCTGCACATGGCGCCTGCGCTCTTTCACCCGCCGATGCCCTGGGGGCAGGCAGGCAGTGCTCCCTGCCACGAGGGCCACTCTCCACCCATGGGAGGAAGAGCCAGCCAGGAGCATCCCCCGGTGCAGTGCCACTTGCACACTCAGGACCACACACTTTTTGTGGTACACAGACTGAACCCAGGGCACTTTACCATTGAGCATCATTCCCAACCCTTCTTATTTTGTTCTGAGACAGGGTCTTGCTAAGTTACCCAGGCTGGCCTGAATCTTGCACCCTTCTGCCTCAGCCTCCTGTATTTATTTATTTTTTGGTACCAGGGATTGAACCCAGGGGTGTTTAACCACTGAGACACATCCCCCTTTTTTATACTTTATTTAGAGACAGAGTCTCACTAAGTCGATTAGGGCCTTACTGCATTGCTGAGGCTGGCCTTGAACTTGTGATCCTCCTGTCTCAGCCTCATCAATTCAGTGAAGCACTCTGCCACCATATCCAGCTCCTGCAAGCAATTTCAATTGCTAAAAATAATAATCCAAGTTATATGAGATCAACATTAATACCCAGAGGTAGAGCTAGGCAACACGAGGTACACGGCTGCGAGGGTCAGGACGTTTTCTTCCAGTCATGCTAAGAACTGCCCCAGACCCCGAAGATGCACGAGGCTCCTGCTTGTCCACACAGCTACTCCAGCTGGATGCAGGGTCATCCCTGGGCCACTCTAGCACAACGTGCACTGCCATGGCAGCAGGCTGGTGCTGGGCGCATTCCAGGCCGGGGAACTCGGCGCAGAGCAATGCATGCAGGTTGTGTACCTTGAACCCCAGGAGAGGGGGTCGGGAACAGCTCGTCACAAACTTGAGCAGCTTGCGCTTCTCTTCATCAGTGAAACCTTCTACGACTCTCCAGAAGATTTTAATGACAGGGTGATCGGCAGAATAGCCTCCTACAACAAAACGGACAGACATCTGATTGAAAGTAAAACACACAGGGCTGGGGCAGGGCTCAGTGGCAGAGCACTTGCCTACCCTGTGAGAGGCACTGCCCACATGACTGAGTCTGCTCAACCCTTGACACCACATGAAAACAAATACATAACACATGCAAAAGCAGGGTGCTCTTTCTTGCTCTCCGTGGCACTGGGCTGAACCCAGGGACCCATGCTTGTTGGGCACATGCTCTGCCACAGAGCCACACCCCAGCCTTTTTTACTGTTTCTGTGGAGACAGTGTCTCACTGAAGCGCCCAGGCTGGCCTGGGACTTGGGATCCTCCTGCCTCATCCCCGGGGGGGGGCTAGGAATAGAGGGTGTGCTGCTGCGTCTGGCCAGCAGGGTCCGTGGGATGCTCTGAAGGCCTGAGGTCAGCAATCAGAGGGAACTGCAGGTTCCACCAGGCCTGTCTTGAAAGCTAATCCTAAAAAAAACATCTGCCCCAACCCCAGAGATGGTGGGCAAAGCATGAGGGACCAAGTGTCAGAGGGCCGAGGCAGACAAGAACAGAACAGGGAACAGGCAGGTGGTTGGTCACTGCTGGCACGAGGCTCTGCTTTCTAGGAACTCTGCTGGTCAGAAACCAACACCCTGCTGAGCAAACCAGAACGTGCAGGGCTTCACATGTGGTCAGCGCACCCAAACACGGTGGACCCTGGGTACTGGCCATGCCTAACAACCAACCTCACATGTGAGCAGGAGACTATTGTAAATGTTGGGTCTGCTACTTACAACTTTTAATCTCCTTAAGTGCTTCCTAAAACTAAGATAATTGCTCTAGTTGTTCCCTTATTGTTAATACACTACAGAAATAACATCAATAAGACATCTTAAGTGCATCAATTGGCACCAAATGAATATGGTAATTCTTTAACCCTATTTACTGGAACAGCCAAGATCATTCAAGGTGGAAGGTTTCAGTGAGAGCGGGTCATTCAAACCACCCAAGACAAATTCTTGGCAAAGAAAGGTCAGATGGATTTCACTTTCTTAAGCTTATGACCCGACAGTGAGGACAATGTGATCCTGGTGCTATTTGCCTTCTCATAAAATCTGAGCTCAAATTTAGAGCAAACAGGTTAACTACAGAACACACACACACACGTGATATTGAACATATTTAGAATTTTACAACTGTGCAACAAAATCCAGCTTTGAATATTTCTATGTCCTCAAAAAGATTCTAATCCAAAGACAACCATGAACCTACTGTATGGGTAAACATACTTTTAGGTGTTTCATATACAAACAGCATTCAGCAGAACACAGGGAGCTGGGTAGAATTTGTTGTTGTTGTTATGGTGGTAAAATACATAAAATTCACCATTTAAACTACCCCACCCAACCCCACACTGGGGATTGAACCCAGAGCCCTTTACAACCCCTTTTGTTGATTTATGAGACAGGGTCTGTCTGAGGCTGGTCTTGAACTTGGGATCTTCCTCCCCAGCCTCCCCAATCACTGGGATTACAGGAATACATGACTCCGTCTGTATATCTTGATGGTTTCTTTTGAAACACAAAATATTTTAACTCAGAGGAAGAAGGAGGTATCGATTTCCTTTTCTGGATCACATGTTGGTGTCACAACTACAATCCGACTGCTCTAAAGCCATGAAGCCCCTGCCGCATGCTCTTCACAGATTCTGGAGCCCTAGCGCTTACCTATCCTGAGTTCACCTTTGGGTGTATGTGACATAAGGTTCTAAGTGCAGTCATTCTCGGATGGGTACCGTCCCAGTACCTGCCGAATCGTCCTGGGTCCTCCTGAAACGCCAGCTGACCACAGCTGCAAGGACTTGTTTCTGATTCCAAACTGGGTTCCGCTGAAGGCGCGTCTGTGCCTGGGCCAAGACCACGCTGCCAGACCACAGTGGCTTGGTACTGAGTTCTGAATCAGGACTAGGTCTTTCAATCTTCTTCTACCAAATTACTTTGGCTAACCTTGATCCTTTTTAATTTTTAAAAATATTTTTTAATATATATTTTTTTTAGTTGTAGATGAACACAATACCTTTGTTTATTTTTATGAGGTGCCGGGGATCAAACCCAGTGCCTCACACATGCTATGCGAGCGCTCTACCACTGAGCCCAACTCCAGCCCCTTGATCTTTTTTAAATTCTTTTTTGGTCCCAGGGATGAACTCAGGGGCAGTTTACCACTGAGCCACATCCACAGCCCTATTTGGTATTTTATTTAGAGACAGCGTCTCACTGAGTTGCTAAGCGCCTCACCACGGCCAAGGCTGGTTTTTAAGTCAGGATCCTACTGTCTCAGCCTCCTGAGCTGCTGGGGTTACAGGCATATGCCACTATGCCTGGCTTGATCCTTTTTTAAAAACACACACATATATTAGTTGTAGATGGACACAATATCTTTATTTTATTTACTTACTTATTTTTACGTGGCACTGAGGATCAAATCCAGTACTTTACACATGCTAGCAAGCACTCTACTCCTGAGCTACAACCCCAGGCCTAATTTTTTTTTTTTTTTTTTGGCGGGGGGGATATAGGGATTGAACTCGGGGACAGTCGACCACTGAGCCACATCCCCAACCCATTTTGTATTTTACTTAGAAACAGGGTCTGAGTTGCTTAGCATCCTTTTGTTGCTGAGGCTGGCTTTGAACTTGTGATCTTCCCACCTCAGCCTCCCTACCCACTGTACCTGGCCCCAGGCCAAATCTTGATCCTTTATGTTCAAATTAAATTTTAAAATCAGCTTTATTATTTCTACAAAAAAATCTGCTAGGATTTTGACAGAGACCAGACTAGATTTATAGATCAATTTCAAGGGAATTACCATTTTAACGATATGGAATGAGTCTTCCAATCCATGTACTTAATCTCCTTTAATTTCTCTTAACAATGTTTGCAGTCTTCAGTGTACAAGTCTATATTTACCTTGCTAAGTTTATTTGGGTTTTATCCTTTCTAATGCTATGATGAGTGGAGTTATCTGATTCCATTCTTGGACTGTATACAGAAATACAACCGGTGTCTATGTATCAACCTGAACAATCCTGCTGAGTTTTCAGGGCTTTTTTTGTCACTTTATCCATGACAAGTTTTACTTCTTTCTCTGGTTTTCAAACTGACGTCTTTCTTCCCACGTTTTCTTTGGTTTCCTACTGCCTGCCTGCCTTGTTGCACCAGCTAGAGACCCAGAGCCACGCTGCAGGAATGGTGGCAGGCCACCCTGTCTGGTGTGCCTGGCACTCAGGGTGCTGCCAGGGGCATGCAGGGTCTGGGGCAGGCTCAGGGGCTCCCTCCCAGCCTGGTCGCCTGAGCATTTTGTCTTGAGTTCAGAAGCCTCCGGTGCTGGCTTTCCCTCTACCGGGAGGCTCCTGTGGGCTCTGTCCTTGCACTGCCCTGTGCGGGGCTGCACCAATGCACCTGCGGGTGTCTGGGTAAACACCCCTGGCTTAGTCCCTTCAACTCGCCACAGCTTCAGTTCCCATTCCCCAACCTTGCTGCAGTGCTGGGGACTGAACCCAGTGCTCCACCTGAGCCACACCCCCAGCCCTTCTTCCCTTTTCACTTTTAGACAGGATCTTGCTAAGTTGACCAGGCTGGCCTTGGACTCATGACCCTCCTGTCCCAGCCCCCAGAGTTGCTGGGATTGCAGGTGTGTGCCAACGTGCCTGGCTCCTGGATTCAGTTTTCTGATGTTCTGCTCAAGATTTCTACTTATATGTTCATAAGGGATATTAATCTATACTTTTATTTGTGTGTATTTTTTGGTCTGCTCTGATATTAGACTAATGAAGACCACTGAGCAGGGGATCTTTTGATCTCCTTTACCTGGGCTGAAAGTCCTGCCCAGGGTATGTGTTATGGCTTAAAAATTATTTGAAAAGGAATGTACACTCATTTCAAGATGTTAAAAAAAAAAAGAACAACACATTGAAAATGTGGGATGACACAAACTGTTTCAGAATCTGCTGCGTCTTCCACTCCAAGTGTTTTCTAAGAGCCACATAAAGTACTCAGCGTGTCAGGGCCCATGACAATAGGGATGGGTGGCTCACAGTGCCCGCCCCTTTCACACTCCCATTGAGCCTGGTGTCCAGGTGAGGAAGGGCTGCAAGGGCAGAGGGTGTGCTCGGCCTGGTCAGGGGCTGGCGCGAGCCAGATCCACTTGCAGTTCACCTCCCGGGATGCGCACACCCTGTGGAGAGCAATCCTCCACCTCGCGCCTAACTTCTACAGAGACAAATGACGACAGGCAGGGACACACTCACTGTGCTCTGAGGTCAAATACACCAGATCAACTACACCAACAGGGACAGCGCAGAAACACGTTTTTACTACTGATGTTACACAAACACACAAAATCCCAGAATATCTGCTATAAACACAAGCTCACACAGTACTAGAGTAATGAAGTACAATGGAAGACCACACCAACACCACAGTGGTTGTATAAAATCCTGCATTAAGGGCGACCTTTTTCTTTTTCTTTCAACTATTGCTGAGTATACACAGGGCTTAAACAAAAGAAAGCAAAGCAAAACCCAGGAACTTGTAACACTCAGGATGTCGGAGGACTCTCCACGGGCCTAGGGCCATGTGCCTTCTTGGGGAAGTAGAGGTTTAAGGCTTTTTGCCCATTTGTATAAGTGGGATTTTGCCCACTCAATGAACTTACAGAATATTAAAAATATACTCTAGGTCCAAATTCCTTTTCAGATATATGTATTCTGAACATTTTTGACTTATTTGTGCCTTTTCATTTTCTTAAAAAGGAGAAAGGTATACATTTAATTTAATCAGAAAGTAAATAGTGTTGTGGGAGGATTGTGAAGTGAAATCAAATTCCATGCATGTACGATTTTGTCAGGACAAACTCAATTACTGTGTATGCTCTAACAAAACCTGGAGGGTGAGTACTTGAGTCGTGGCTCAGTGGTAGAGTGCTTGCCCGGCACGCACAAGGACCTGGGTTCAATCCCCAGCACCATAGGGGGAAAAAAGTCTCTTTATTAAGGCTAATTCTCAGTCATCATTATCAGTGTGCTTGTGTGCATGGGGGTGAGCCTATTTGTTTCTTGGTGCTGCACCTCTCAGCCACAGCCCCAGCCTCTAGCTCTCAAGTGGAGACAGGTGTTGCCCAGCTGGGATGTCCCAGGTGTGCCCCCGTGCGCCAGACCCAGCACTGCTTTTAACAGCAAAAGACTGGAAGCACGTCTGGGGCGGGGCTCAGGGGGAGCTTGCCTCCCACACGGGGACCCTGGGTTCCCCCTTCCATCCCCAGCAACACCCCCCTAAAAAAAAAAAAAAAAAAAAAAAAACAGCAAATGCTCACAAATGGAAACTTACGGAGGGAGGATAAGAAGAGGCAAAGAAGCCCAGGGACAAGGGGACAGAAAGAGGCTTTCGCCAGGCACTGTGTCCAGCACTCTGTAGTCTTGTCTTTCTTTTTGGTGCTGGGGATCGAGCCCAGGGGTGCTTTAATAGTCAGCCCCAGCCCCAGCCCTTTCTGAGACAGGCAGGGTCCTGCAAGTTGCACAGGTTGGTCTTGATCTTGAGATCCTCCTGCCCCAGTCTCCTGAGGAGCAGGGATTACAGGCAGGTACCTGACTAGCACTCCAGTGTTTGAGCAATGCAAATTAAACGTACCTGAATAGTTCGTAAAGGATTTTAGGTCCTCCAGACTTATGGGAACTTGTGCACCAGAAATTAATACCTGGGGGAAAAAAAAAGTCTGAATAGTAGCACATGAGGTAGATTTTAATGAGGTAGATTTTAAGGAAGGCTTTTTATTCCTCGAGACGACTACGTCCCTGAGCATCAGCAGTCAGGGTACCTGAATTTCCTGCTGGTCGAACATTCGGAGCCACTCCAGGCTGACGACGTTAGCCAGGCCCTGCCGGAAAGCCAGGCAGTGTGGGCGGATCTGCTTGTTCAGCCTGTAGTCTGCCACCAGGTGGATGTACGCGATGCGGTTGGCACTGGTGACGGGGATATCCTTCCCACCAAGCTTGAGTTCAACCACCTGGGAGTAAAATACAGCACCATCAGGACCCTCCAAGCATGTGACAGGGCAAAACGAGGCTCCCTGCGGGTTTTCGAGAGCCACCATTCTGCCTTTTGCAAGCACTAAGGCAGCCCACAGCAGCGTAGCCCAGGTCTTCGTTTTAAGTCAGTGGTCACAGTGGGCAAGGACACGAGCCCAGGGGTCACCCCGGTAAAGGGTCCACGCGGGAGGAGGCACCCTAAGGAACTAAGGCTGTGGGAAGCAGCCACTCGCGTCCGCAGCACTGCTGGGCTTCTCCTGTGAGGAGCCGGGCTCAGGACCCCGCTCCAGGGCCTGCAGCAGGGCTGGTGACACAGCACTGTGGTGAGGACGCACAGCCAAGGGACACGGCTGCCCCTCACTGTGCCCTTAAACCTCTCCCCAGGACGAAACCGTGCAGCCTGCTTTGTGCACCTGGAGTGTTGTGAGGGTGTAGCCGTCTGGCAGAACCCCACAGACCACCCAAACACAGCAGTGCCATCTACACAAGAGCTCGCTTTTATTTTATCTTGCAATGCTTGGCTCAACCCAGGGTCTCACTCATGCTGGACAATGCTCTACAACTGAGCCACACCCCCAGCCTAAGAGTTGACTTTTAAAGTTCCTTGAAGGGGCTGGTTCAGTGATGGAATGACATATTGACAAGGGCGCTACTCTGGTGGACACCAAGAATGGCCCACAGTGGGCTCTGTAGCCTGTTTTGTTTTTTGGGGTACTAGGTATTGAACCCAGGTACACTTAACCACTGAGTCACATCCCAGCCAAGCCCTTTTTATTTTGTATTTTGAGACAGGATCTTGCCAAGTCCTTAGGGCCTTGCTAAATTGCTGAGGTTGGTCTCCACCTTGCAATCCTCCTGCCTCCGGCTCCCGAGTCCCCG